CTAAACCCTAAATCAGCTGTAAACCCTAAATTTAGCCTAAGCCCTGAACCCTAAACCCTAAACCCAAAGCCCTGAAACCCGAAACCCTAAAACCCTAAACCCCTAAAGCCCTAAACCCTAAAACCCTATAGATCCTATAGATCCCTTTTAAGGGACCCCAAATAACCCTAAAGCGCAACCAGGGTCTTGGGACCGTTGACCAGCAACTGCCTGGAGTCGAAGGGCTTCAAGGGCCCTTTCTGCAGCTTAGCAGCTGAGGCAGTTTGGGGCTTGGGGTTTTGGGGGGTTTAGAGGATTTGGGGTTTAGGGCTTAGGGGACTTTAGGGGATTTAGGGTTTGCGGTTTAGGGGGTTTAGGGGATTTAGGGTTTGCGGTTTAGGGGGTTTAGGGGATTTAGGGTTTGGGGATTAGGAGGTTTAGGGGGTTTAGGAGGTTTAGGGGGGTTTAGGGGATTTAGGGGATTTAGGGCTCCGGGTTTAGGATTTGGGGTTCAGGGGTGGGATGTCGCGGAATGAGTACATGTTACACTTTTTTGGTTTTTTGTAGATCTCAAAGTTTACATTTTTTCGATTCGGGGGGACTTACTGTTGTTCATATAAACCCTGCATTTTTTAAGGACCCTTTCCTATGGGAATTATGGTATATTCCTTACTATTGGTGATCCAGGATTTATATCATCAACCGTATGAGCTCGCAGACTAAGGCAGCATCCCATTCACGCGCAGCTGCGGGTGAAGCTCACAGGAGCCGGCGTTTGAATCACAGGTTTTGGTGCCCTTTTCAATGGTAGACAACTCCGAAATCCAGGGGCCTTTATATCATTATTATAGGGCTGGGGGGTCCTAAATCCTAAACCCTAAAACCCTGAACCCCTAAACCCTATAGTATACTAAGTCTAGGGTTTTTGTTCAGGGTTTTGGCCTAAAGTATTGAAGAAGGATATACTACCTGTTAGGGTGCAGAGTTTAGGAGTTTAGGGTTTTGGGTTCAGGGCCTTACTAATTGCTTGTATTATTAAGGGGGGATTCCTTATTATACTTATAATACTTAGCAGCTGAATGAATACACTTTAAACTTCTTGGCATAATATGATCCCTTACCCTTAGCATCATCATAGCCCAAAAAGCCTTATATACTAGGGTCTTTGGGCCCAGCAGCCCTAAAATATGAGTCCTTTGAGGGTAAGGGTTATAGAACTGAAAATGTAGACACTTTTTGGGTGCGGATGAACTCAGCAGCTCAGAGTACCTATTAGTCTCCATTGTGGTTCCCGTTTTGGGCTACTTTGTATAATAGGGGTTTAGGGTTTAGGCTTCTCCGGTTTTTGGCTACTTTATATAGGGGTTTAGGGTTTAGGATTAGGGTTCTCCGGCTTTTGGGCTACTTTATACAAGACCCTACATATCTAGCCGGCTGAACCATGGAGACTATAATATGCCTGAATAATTACCCTACATCATTCGTTAGGGTTCCTTCTTCGTTATAATTATAGTACGAAGGAGCCCCCAAACCCTGTTTGACTGATTAAGGCCCTAGAATAGGTTTTCGATTCCCGAAACCCTCAACTCCTAAACCCTCAACCCCGAACCCCTAAAACCCGTAAAGCCCGAAACCCCTAAACCCTAAATCCAGACCCTAGGCCGTGGCAATATAGGGGCCTTCATAACTATAGAACAGGTTATATTATACTAGAACTGTATTAAGGAACCACCCAAAAATAGTATTCACTTCACTTCACTTCACTTCACTTGCGGTCCATAGTGCTCAGAAAGCGCGACCCAAAACTTGCAATAAACCTAAAGCGGTGAAACTGGGGCTGCAGCAGCTGAGGGTCCCCTATGTGCTGTAGGCCTTGCTATCCAGAAATCTGTCGCAGCTTCGCGAGGGCCCTCTGTCGAGGCTGCATCAAGGTATTCATGGATCCACCTCACAGTGTCGGGATGGGGACGGTACAACTGCTTAACACGGCTGAGCAACAGTTCATCTTCGCTGAGCCCTGTTACCGCCTCCGTGTATGTAGGCATCCTAGGTCCGTAGGCCGGAAGAGGGGGCAGCGCTGCCCGGTACTCATTCCATCGCCCTGCCTTGACCTTGCGAGCTAGCTGCTTATCAGTTGCCTCTGCGGAGACTATTTCCTCGACGGACAGGGGCCTAACGGTGTGCAACAAGCGGACTAGACAGGGACCTGAATGCTTCAGATGGTTGTGGAGCCTCGGCACACTATGAAAGAATCGCATGCAAGCTCCACATGTGGGCGTAGGGGCGTAGTGTCTCACGGGAGACAGCAGCTTATGTGTCCTAGCCAAATGAACCCCCAAGTGCTTTCTAAGCAGAAAAGCTGCTCCACAGTGCGGACAGTGGAATGGCTTGTCCTGCTCAGTTTCTACCTCTGGGTCGCTAGGATCATATCGCTTCTGACTCCACTTCTGTAGGTCATCGGCATATCCCTTGATGGCCTTGCGAACCTGAGAGGACCACCAACCCGGATCCTGCTGCATTGTTTCACAGAGCATTCCCACCGGGTCTGCCTCATCCAACAACACCTTGGCCCCATTTGAGTAAACGGCAACTGCACGGATATCCAGCATGAACTGATGTAGCCAGGACGTAGCGGGCTGCGTCCTCCACTGGACATGCAAACAGTGCAGCAACGCAGCGGGCCCGTGTATGAGGACCCTGCGGAAGAAGGTGGCCCTTGCTTGGGCCAATGCCAACAAAGGCGACGTGGCTCCTGCCACGCGCAATACTTCATAGCTATGGCTTTGATCAGTAGCCGAAGTACGCCGTGTAAGGCTCCTCCACAAACTAACGTACAAACGTGACCAAGTACGCCTATGAACATTGGCATTGAGGTGCAGCGTGGCACTGGAGAAAACAAATTTGGATACCACGAGGGCCCGAAGCAGTGTGGTACGCAGCTTCAGTGGTATTACTCCAGCGCCAAAGAGCTTCCGGCGCAAAGGCCGCAAAACTGCTTGTGCCTGCGCGAACCTGTAGTGCACCTCTGTCACTGGTGCCGTGTTGGCAACTGCAATGCTGCCAAGGTGCTTGTACGAGTCAACGACTGGAAGCCAGTTATCGAGAGCTACCACCTTGTCCCGAACCGGCATGCCTGGCTCTCCCTGCTCATTTAAGAGCACGAGCTCGTCCAGAGGTCGAGTGACTTCCGTGGACAGCAGCAGCGCAGTCTTGTCACTCGCGTATGTCAGCTGCATACCTACGGAGGTTGTTTTGGCAGCAATGACCTCTACGGCTGCCTTAGTACGCTGACACAGCCGTACTGGCGACGGATCTGCCTGTAGGAAGACAAAATCATCAGCCCAGGCAGGCAGCCCCAAAGTGTCCGGTGCCTCCCAGGAGTGCCAAGGTGGCGACATTGCGACTTCCGGCATACTAGTCTGTAGTCCGGCGCTCTGTAGACTATCGTCAATGGCACGGCAACAGGCTGTAAATGAGAACGCGAACAAAAGATCCGCCAAGGGATCTCCTGGTCGCGTTCCCCGTCGAGTCAACCAGATCGTGGTTTCTCCTTGAAGTTTGAACCATGAGCCCCTAAACAGATCTGCTGTCTGGGCCATCAGGTGATCTGAAACTCCTGCCTCAGCCAGGGCTACCATATTTCCAAGCTGAGTCGCAAGCTCACACACTGCCTGGTCAGGCACTCCCAGCTCCGACAACAATCGGACAAAGGCTGCATCACCAGCGCCCTTTTCTGAAGGGACTAGAACCTGTCTCAGCACTCGGTAGAATGCTGTCTTCAAATCGAAGAAGGTCAACGATGAAGCCATCTTCTTTTGTTTGGCCCAAATCTGATAGGCCCTGACAACCAAACCTATCGAGTCGACTCCTACCCCAGGCGCTTGGCCAGCCTGGGTGTCCAATTTGTAGGCGGCAAAGTACGGCATCAACCTCCCACGCAACAACCGATGCTGAACTTTCGCCGTGGCATTGGCTAAAAGGATGGAGCGAAAGGAGGCACCGTCCAACGCTGCACTAGCTTTTTTGGCTAGTGCCATGAGGCTGCCGCCTCTCCATGCTGTCGGCTCTCTGTTACCCAACGCAGCCTTCAAACAAACGGGAAACAGTGTACGTGCCACCCCAGCCACGTGTATTCGGAGGACCTCCGCCGTGAGTCCATCCGGCCCTGCGGCCTTGCCAAGCTTAAGCTGTAGGAGCTGCTGCTCCAGCTCCTGTAGCGTAGGCAACGCCTGTAAGCTGAAGACCGGGTCGGCTCGTCCTACTGGCAAATCCGGTTTGGCAAATGCCTGTTGGTATTCGGTGTCCGATACCGCAAAAGCACTTTCCTGCTCCCCAAAGTAGCGTTCCCATCGCGCGGCCCGAGACTCTCTGTCCGGCGCCAGGGTGCCATCCTCCAGTCTCACGGCTGGTAGCGGCCTGAACCCACGTCGCCTTGAGGATCTAGCCTCTGGAAAGGCTTTGCGAACAGCGCGATATAGCGCCTTAGGATTTCTTAAATCTTGCACCGTGACTTCCTTTTGAAGACTGTCAAGGTACTCGATCCTGTCCCGTTTGACTGCAGCGCGCACTGCTCGAGTGAGCTCAGCAAGGCGTTCGACAGCAGCCGCAATGCTGTGGTCGATGTCGCTGACCCAATGAGATGCTGTACTTAAGGCGGTCTCGCTAAAAACCTGCTCGTGGTGGTGCAGCCTAAATGCGGCGAACCCAATCAACAACCATCGCTTACGCAATTCCTGCTCTTCATCCCGAATGTAGGCTCTGATCTCTCGACGCTGTCCCACCAGGCGCATGGTATCAGAGCTCAAATATGACTGTGTCGGAGCATATGGCTGCTCAGGGATGAGTGGTTGGGCACAGGCTTGGATATGACGGGTCCACTGCGCATTGTGCTGATCGACACTGCTTTCCCACGGGATACCTCTGGCCTGCTGAACAAGAACAGCAAAGCTGTCTCTGTCTTCAAGGGACAGATCCCTCGAAGGCCTTAGTACAGGTCCCTTGCCACTACGATAGCTGTACGATGGCGCCAGATGCTGAAACTCAACTTCAAGCACTACTGGAAGATGGTCTTGTCTGGCATGCATGGCTTCGAAGGAATCCCAGACATGGGAGCTAAGACTAAAGGTGCTCCAGCTACCAGGAACCCCTATAAAGTCGATGCGATGCTTCGTGCCGTCTGGCTCTGGCGGAGCCCATGTCCAATGTTGTCCCTGGTGATGCTCATTCCACGTCGAGGGAATGTAAGCATGCATTCTCAGCAAGAACTCATGGAACAAAAATCCCTCTTCATTTTCAGGCTCGGCACCAAACGAACCAATGACATCTGTCGTCACCGATCCTATGTGCGCATTCGCGTCTGCCAGGATAAGATAGTCCGCTTTGCGCGGGCGCCTCTGTAGCTCACCATATCTGTCGTTCCAGAAAGAGATGACGGCCTCTTCTCCCTGTCCTGACACACGTGGTGCATGTGCAACCAAAACGGTAAGCGCCAACCTGGGATGCTCTAACAGAACCTGCAAATGACGGGGTGAGGTAGCCACAACTGTGACCTGCTCTTCGGTTATGTGCAGAGACTGACTGCCAGACCGTCCAAAGGCCACTTCACGTGCTATCCACAAGGCACACCCACCATGACCGCGCTCAGTTGCCCCGGAATTCAGCATGATGTAGTCCTTGTCTGGCAGGGTACCCGTGATGGGTATACGCGTTTCCTGAAAACCCGCTAGCCAAATCCCTTTGGCCCCAAGCTGCTTTTTCAAGACATCACGTTTGCCTGCTACCAGCAGCCCAAGATTGGCCAGACGTTTGGGCCGTCCTTTTGGTACTTGTGGGTCAAACATGGTCAACACGTTGAATGAAAAGACAGCAAACCGATAGCCGGTCTGCTTCTCTGGCCCTCGGCTAACTTTGGCATCCTGAAGGGGTGGTGCAGGCATATCAGCTGTAGCTTGTAGGCGACTCGCTTCTGTTTCCAGAGCTGCAAGTGCAGGTAGATCTCTGCAAGCATGTTGTCCCATCCAGCTCCATCTGCAAAGCTGATGTTTGCGCAGCTCTGCTGGCCAGGTGGGCAAACTGCGCTCATAAAAACTCTCGCCGTGATTCCTGGCATATTTTGCCAGTGCATCGCAGAGTTCATTGCCTATGTCACCCGAATGTCCCTTCACGTGTCGATGCCTGATGTTGCATCTGGACTCCGCTACTTGTCGTAGAACACCTGCGAAAGAGGCTAGGCAGGGGTATGTATCAGCTGTCTGCAGAAAAACCTGCTTGGAAGCTGCAAACGTACTACCCCCTGCGCTAGTGCAATCATACTGCAGTTCGACTGGCAGTCCGAAGTGAAGCCCGCTATCAAGCAACCAAACCAATCCTATGGCCAACAGCTCAGCCACTAGGGCACTATCTTCGGCTTCTCCAAGAAAGTAGGGTGAGTCAACAGACACCGTAGTGTGGGCACAACCGCCCACATAGTGCAATAGACCTCCTACCACCGTCCATACTGTGAAGGCCCATGCTGCTGGTCGCACATCTGGGGTCTGACCTGACCCGCCCCAAGAGGCAGAGCCATCAGTATAGATGACAATGGCTGTGGCTGCCTCTGGACAAGCAAGGCGGTGCCAAAGGCTGAGTGTCTTGAACATTGGGCTCCAGCCATGATCTGCATCGGATCCTTGGATCAGCGCACGTAGGTCGTTGTCTAACCAATCTGTTACCTGCAAAGCCCTGGCTGGACTGCAGTCTACCGGTTCCTTCGGCAGAAGCTGCTGCAAGGAATAGGCCTGCCTTTGCAAAGTAGAGGGAGGAATGGCCTGTTCCAGGCACAGGGGCACAGGTCCTGCAGGGCAGGTATCCTCCCTGTTGTCGGCAAAATGCTCAGTTAGGACCTCCAGCAGGGTGGCTGCCTCCATGAAAGGCCTCTTGGAGAACTTAACGGCCTCTTCTAAAAGGGTTGGGCCCTCAACCAGGTAGGCAGAGGGCAAAGAGTCTGTGGTGGCCCTGCATGGTGTGGGGATGGCTCGTAGATCGAGCCGGATCGAGCGCATAAAATGCGCATGTTGATACTCTTGTCTATATGTGTGCGGAGCCTCTGTGGTATGAGAAACTTGCGCGCATAAAGCCTCAGCCACTCCTTTCGCAACTGTGTCAGCACTCAGACGCCAAGGGGGTTGTGGCAGGGCTTCGAGCAAAACTGTATCAGCTGCGACTTGCCCAGATGCACTGGGACGGGCGTCAGCACTGACCGCTTCGGATGTGTGGCAGCAAATGCAGCCTGCAAGTATTCCAAGCCAACGCTGCACGACGCCTCCATAAGTAGGCGGCCCTCGTCCATTACCCCCGCCGCGGTCTCTGACAGATCGTCCAGAACTGGCGAGGTTGGGCACAGAAGCTGGGCGCTCCACAACGGCGGAATCAGTACTGCTCAGCGGTGATGGCATGGTGGCTGGCAGGCTGCTAGCGGAGGGTACCGCGGTAAGACGACCATCTGGCATTTCAGGTAAGCTAGCCTCTGAGTCCGAACGGTCATTGCCGACCGACGCAAAAACGGCCATTAGCGTCTGTCCTGCCCGAACCTCTACCAATGTATCAGCGCCAGTGTGTCGGCGACTGCCTCCTAATATGATAGTTCGATAGGTTGGCAAGTGCGCAGGAACCAAAAACTCCGTGAGGCCTGCTAGGCTAATCCAACCATCTACGGCCACACAGGGCAGGATCCCTCGCAACAACGGCCTACAGTCTAGACCTATGATGGCCGAATCACCCCTGCCATCAACTAACCTGACATCGGCAACTGCATAGGCAACGTGACAGTCCTGCCCTCTCCAACACAGATCGTCGGTTGGGTTGGCAAGCGGCTGGCAAAAGATGTGTTCGGGTCGCGTGGCCGCGTCTGTATGCAGCTGAGCGATGACAGGCCTTGGCGGCTGTGTGCTCGAACGGCTGTTGGCATTGTACACAACGGCTCGGTCTTCTGTCAGCACGAGACCTGCGGACCTAAAAGGGCCACTGAAGAACAGCAAGTTCGACAAGTTTGCTCTACCCCTATGTGTAAGCTCAACGCAAGCGAGCTCTTCACTCGATTCCCAACCAGACACTGAGTGCACAGTCAGGAGCTGTCCTGTTCGAAGGCGAATACTAGTCTCAACCCGGCTTGGTGGCGTAGTACTGTGCTCAATAAAACAAACCTCCGGACCTCCATCTTGGATGCGAAAGGCTGCCAGCAAATCATGGTGCGTAGCTTCACATGGAAGCTGTGCGCAGAACAAACGATTGTCCAGAGCCCTGGCGTCGAAGCATATCACCGCGGTTTGGGTACTGTCACAAATCCACGCTGGGAGAGCTAAAAACAGCTGAAAGCTGGCAACTGGCTGTGGTGTCACTGCAACCAAATAGGGGTAAATGTCAGCTCGCAGGCCAGTGCGCGCGTTATGCACTTGTCCTAGGGGCACTAGGGTCACGAGGCCATGTCTACAACCGACATATATATATTCTGGCGTATGATCTGGCGTGAGCAAAACACATGTGATCTCGTCCGCCTCGCCCGCAACCGTTTCCGCCTCGGCGACCTGTGCACTGAACTCTTCTCCAAGCTGGTAGTCTGGTGGAACAGGGGTGAGGTGGTCGGTGCCATCATCAAGGCTCCTTGCATTCAACCGAACACTCCACGTGTCTTCCCAAACATCAACCTGGATGTCAATCAGGTCGTCAGTTGCAGGCCCATCTCCTGCATCGACCTCGCTACCTGACCGATCTGTTTCCCTGCGCGTGCTATGCCTGTCTCGCGGTGTGCGGCTGCGCTGGCTGTTGGAAGCTCGTCCCGTGCTAGCTTCACGTTCCGAGCTGGAATCAGCTTCAGAGCTTGCGTCGCCGTCCGAGCTGGAGGGGCTGCCAGAACTCGCGGAACTGGCATCCTGCAGGCTATCAGCCGCAAAGTCCACAACCAGTATCTGTCCGTCATCAACAAACAAACGTTGTTCCTCATCAGCTAAAACCCGGCGTCCTCCTTGTACCACTACAGTATGTTCATGCGGGCACCACACGGCATACCATGCTTGCAGTTCGCTCAGTGCGTAGCCCTGTGTGCCAACTATGTCCCACGTGAACCCGCGCAAGATCGGCCTTTGGTCAAAGATAACAACACTAAAACCCTGTGGCCTAACAATGGGTCGGGCGATGGTCTGCGTGGCGACTACAACGCCACAGGTAGCGTATCCTTGCATCGCATGGTCCTGTGCTCTGGGCCGCCCGGCTCGGGTGGTTAGGGCTGCCTGTGAGTAACCAAGCTTACTGGCAACTGCTATGCGTAGTTGTCCAGAACTGCGTTCAGTCTCCTGATCGGGCATTCGAAACCGAAAAGAAGCATGATCTCCTAGAATCCAAAAAGCTGGTCCTGGCTGTTCCGGCACTGGAACTGACGCATCCCAGAATTGGGCAGTGTTGAGCATGTCTGACAGATCGTGGTTTCCCAAAGAAAACCGTGAGCCCATCCCACACGTCAACCTGTTGCCCTTCCCAGAGTTCTCTGTCTGCTCCCCCGATTCTGACTGGCAGATCTTCTTCCTGGGTAAATGGCGTCAGCTGCAACAGGTGTTCCCTAGTGGTGTTTCTGGCAACCCTTCCTGCAAAGATGGTGCCATTACGCGGCCTACAATCGCAGATGACGGTGACCCATCCGTCGGACCATTCTGGCACTGCGACGGCGACAGCATACAGTCTTGTGGGCTGTGGAGTGGCGGGAATCACTCGTGGAAATCGACGTCGGCGGTCTTCAAATCTCTGACCATCAAGCTCTGTGAAAGCTCGGTGTATGGGGCAAGGCAGATGTAGTCGAAGGACTGACACGTCGGCAGTGTACTCCGGCGTCAACACAACAAACATGGCTTGCACTTCCTCCCCAAGCATGTCAACATCAGAATCGTCATCGGCATCATCATCCAAATTGACAGGCGGTGCCCCATCAATTGGCGCCCCTGGACCAAAGGGCTGCAGCAACACCCTGGCTAGAACGCCCGCATCAGCGTTGCTGTTGCCTGGCAGTGTGGTCAAATCCGGAACTGTCCACACCTTATGCTGAGTCCCAGCACTTGCAACTTCCTTTCCTGGAGCAGTGATGCTAACACAGTCAAGCTGCTGGGGGCTACAAATGTGATCGGTAGGCGGTCTCGCATGATCTACTTTACCACCGTCACCAGCCCAAAAGAGACTGCCCAAGTCAGCACAGTTGCATGTTCTTTTCAGGGCACAGCAGAGGGCTCTCAAGATGTACTGCAGATCACGTGTTGGTGACCGGCTTCTATCTGAGCGTCCACCTGTATCACCTGAGGCACCTGTGTACATGCCGCCAGCAGATAGATCACGAAGTCCACTGCTATCTGTGGTGGGGGGGCGAGTCGAGCTATCGGCGTCAGAGTCTCTTCCATGCCCTGGGAAGCGATTCTGGTTGCTGGCATCATCTGTGTCAAGGTCGCTTGGCCCGAGACCATGTGCCCAGAACGTTAGCACTGTGCTGCCGTCAACTGTGACTTCTGGCCACTGCAGGTCACCCCCTGTAATGTGCAATGTATACTCATCGGGCAGTTGCAGCCCCGCCTTGGCGAAAATGCTGGGCACGTGTAGGTGCAGGGAGTGTCCGAAGGACAAGACGGGCCTGAAGCCCAGTGGTCGAAGGTCACATAAGACGAAGATATCTCGACGTTGGAGCTGTGCTAGCCCATGGTACAAAGGGTCAGGCAGATCTATCGCAAGGATAGCTGAACTGCATGCCTCCCCTTGCACATCGAGATTGGTAATGCATTTAGTGGCTGCCAGAGTGACATCCTCAGCACGAAAACCCATCATTCTTTTGGCAGCTTGCTCAACAGTGAGCCCCTGATGTGGCCCTTGCGCCAATACAAACCTTTCTTTGTCACAGATCACACAG